AAATACTGATAAAATTATCAATGGTAGTCAGTCTGACATTGAGCAAAAGAACACTCCTACTTAAAGGAATTCTTAAGGTACATAACCTGTACTTTCAAGCATGTGGAGATCGTATGTTCCCTGTATTTTGATATCACTATTTGCCATTTAGAGAATGCTGCATTTGCTTGTCAAAGGGAAAATAAAAAAACAGATGTAGTGACTAAAATTTATGTATAACGTCTGTGGGAGACAATGACTTCTAGGTCCCTGTTCTCAAACAGAGCATCATTGGAAGACCCATAGCTAAGGGTTTGCTGTGTGAATAGGAAATAAATACATGTGTGATATTTACATTTAAATTGCTTGTTTTCTCTCTTTTCATCATTACTTTTGGAACTTTTTGATTTTGTTTTGTTTTATTTAGTCAGAGTTTCTCTGTGTAACAGCCGTGGCTATCCTGGAACTAGCTCTTATAGATCAACCTGGCCTTGAACTCACAGAGATCCGCTTGGCCTCTGCCTCTTAAGTGCTGGGATTGAAAGGGTGCACCACCACCACTTTTGTGTCCAGTCACCACTTTCTCTCCTAGTTTGTTAAATGTTGTCTGTTGGAATTTATATAATTGATGCTAAATAGTTGCATTGATAGTGTATAGTCTTTATTCACATGTCATATTTAGTAACTAAAATTACTTTCACTTGGCTACTACATTTTATGTGTGTGTGTGTGTGTGTGTGTGTGTGTGTGTGTGTGTGTGTGTGTGTTCTGTCTGAAATAGAATTTGCTCTTTGAGGAATCTATATTCTTTTGACTTAATTTGGTTTTATTTTTTTGTTTTTGTTTTTGACACAGGGTTTTTCTGTGTAATAGCCCTGGCTGTCCTGGAACTTGCTCTGTAGACCAGGCTGTCTTTGAACTCACAGAGACCCACCTGCCTTTAAAGGCCTCCCAAGTGCTGGGATTAAAGACGTGCGCTGCCGCCACCACCTGGTGACACTGTGTTTTTAAAACTATTTCTGAAGGCTGTACAGACAGCTTTTAGATGATACAGTACTTTGTTTCATGTGTGCTTGTAGCATCGTCACATGAGCTGTAAAGAAGTTAACATACCTGAAGACAGCTTTGCAAATATAGGAGATAAAGCAAAGGTGATAACAGAGGGACATTCACAACAGAAGCAGTTGCACAAAAAGGAAGTAGCTAGCCTTACACAGCTGCATGCAAAGCTGTGCATTCCTCCTAGGGTCTGAGACAGAATAGTGACAAGCCCAAGGCTACCTTTGGCACATAGAAATATCAATGTCGAAAAGTGCAGAAGCAAACTCTGAAATAAGAACCCTCAGTTTGCAATTTTATAAACTAGAAAAGAGAAAGGAACCTGGAATATAGTTCAGTGGTTAACAGTACCGGTTGGTCTTGTAGAAGAACCCTCGTTTGAGTCCCAGTACTCAGTTTTTCACAACCACTGTAGCTTTAGTCCCAGGGCATCTGCTGTTCTCTGCTGGCCTCCCTAGGTACAAGGCACACTTGTGGTACACAAAGATACATGCAGGCCAAATACCCATACACATAATATAACTTAATTAAAAAGAAGCTAGAAAGAAAAAACAGACTAAACTGGAAGGCGGGGATGGGGGTGGGATATAAAGATAAGAACAGATAGAAACACAACAGACTAAGACAACAAAGTAAAAAACTTGGTACTTAGTAAGATTGGGTGATCAGCATTTAGGAGGCTGAGCAGAATTGCAGATTTGTGTCCTGCCTAGTCTATATAGTAAGTTCTAGACCAGCATCGGTTATATGCAATACCTTATTTTTACAAATATTAGAAGTTGAAATGATCAACAAAATTGGAAAACATATTTGGATTAGTAAATAATAACTTAAGTCAGAAGCAAAAGGGTCACATTGCTACTGACTTCATAAAAATAAAAAGAAGTAAATACCACAAGGAGTTATATGCTAGTACATATTTTAGATGAAATGAACAAATTCCTAGAAACATACTGTCAAGACGGACTCAGACTTAAATAGCGAGAACGAGAATCAGTAATAGAAGTCTTTGCCGTTTAGGAAGGTCTAGAGCCAAATGGCTTTTCCAGTAAAGTGTCGAATCCTTCAAAGAAGAAACAAGGCTACTGCTTTTGAAACACTCCCTCCCTTCTTTAGGGGCAGCTTTGTACTGATACGAAAGCCACAGATACCACAAGGAAAATGAACTTGAAGACCATTATCTATTTCAAATATCAATACAAAATTTATTCATAGAATGCTAACACACTGAAGACAGCTGTATAAAGTTTAGACACTATGACCAAGTAAATATGTCCAAAAAATGCAAAATGGCTTAACATAGGAAAATTGATCAATATAACTTACCATAGTAATAAATAACATGAAGGGGGGAGCAGAATGTCAAAAATCAAGTCAAGCAACTGATGGAGTGGGAGTGTGCACCAAAAAAAACAAAACAAACAAAAAAAAAAACACTAAAAAACTAGTACCTCTGCCATGTAGAGCACAGGCCTTTAATCCCAGCACTTAGGCATCTTGACCTATAAAGCAAATTTCAGACCAGGTGGGACTGCATTGTGAGACTGTTCCATGCCCACACAAAAACAAACGAAAAACTAGTATCATGATACGACCATTTAGTAAGGTAAGAATAGGGAGCTAGAGAGAAGGCTTAGTGGTTAAAAACATTTGCTCTTCTTCTTCAGGACCTTAGTCCAGTTCCTAGAACTCATACCAAGTAGCTCACAACTGCTTATAACTCTGTCTTCAGGGGTTCTGGTGCATTTATGTGCATGTATGAGCTCACACATATATAAACGCATAAATCTTAAGAAAAACACAAGCACTCAGGAGGCTCTCTGTGAGTTCGAGGCCATCCTGGTCTACAGAGCTAGTTCCAGGACAGACTCTAAAGTTACAGAGAAACCCTGTGTCAAAAAAAGGAAAAAAAAAAAAAGCTAACAATAGGAAGGAACTTCTTCAACTTGGGAAAGGTATTTTTTTATGAAAAACAACCAATCACATATTCAAAATTAATATTGAAAGCATTTCCCTAAAACAAGGCTATTTTCACGAACTCTTACATTCAGCAATGTATTGGAAATTCTAGGAGAGTTTAAAGAAGTAAAACTACCCTCATTTGCAGAGAATTTGGCCTTTTCTCTAGAAATGTTTACAGGATTCACCATAAAACTATTAGAGCTAAGAGCTCTACACTTTAGAGATGGCTCAGTGGTTAAGTGCACATTCTGTTCTCTCAGAGACCCAGGTTTGGTTCCTGGCACCCAAATCAGGTAGCTCATGACTACCTTTAACTCCAGCTGCAGGGGATTCAGTACCCTCTTCTGGACTCCACTAGCACCAACACTTACCCTTCTCCCCATAATACACACAAGATGAATGAACTTCAAAACTGTCATACTAAGTAAGTCATGTGTAGAAGGTTATATTTACATGGAATAGCCAGAATAGGTAAACCCACAGAAGCAGAAGGTAGAGTAGTGGTTGCCATAGGCTGAGGAAAGTAAAATAAGGAGTTACTGCTTAGTATGTGTGGCCAGTCGAGAGGAATGACTGCTGTAGGGCTGTGGAACTTCCTTCAGACAAGTCGTGAAACTTAGTTTTTCTTGACTATTAGAATGGGGGCAGTGGCTAGAATACCATGGCTGCTCTTCCCAGGTTCTGCTCACTCTGAGTAGAGTTTATTCTTTTAGTATGTCATAATGCTCAATACTAAGAACATGAAGGTGACAGTAAGGGTATTAAGTATATAGCGGGAGAGTAGCAGTAAGCTGGAGGAATCATGTTTTCATGCCTGAAAGCATCCTCTGAGGTCCCTTTTCACCACCCTTCCCCAGTAAAGTCATTTTCTCTTTCTTGTCTCACATTGGTATGATACTTTTTCATTTCACCTGCCAGAAAAATCTCAGACCAAATTCTGCCAACTATAACCTCATTTTGTTTGTGATGAGATCACTAAATCAGTGATTTAGGTTAGAACTGTTGAATCTCTAAATTTTCAGTGATGGACCCATGTTTTATCCCTAACTTTTATCCTCTTGATGGATTTTTTCACTCACATTTTGGATACCTAGACATTAGGAAACCTAGACTATGTTAACAGACTTTAAATCTAAAGAGAGCAGGAGGGTATGGGTAGTTAATATGGGTCAGATAGAACAAGATACAGTTTTATCAGGGAATCTGATACATGTGACAGATCTTGGGTCTTGTGCTTGAGTCCAAGAAGCATAAACTGAACAAGTCTGTTGTAAGGGGGCAAACCAGCACATGGAGCAGAGTAAAGAGCCATGAAACTGGACTACTTTCAACCTACAGTTCATATGGTGGGTGGTATATCATCTAAAGCATCTGGGGCATTGTGCTCTCTGCCATTTATAAGAAACTAAAGAGAGTCTAGAGGACCGTGTCAGGGATAAGGAGAAAGGACACCTTTCCCCCTCAAAACAAATGAAAGAAAGCCAGAGGGATTAGTCTTATAAATATGGGCACTCTTCAAATGGTAAGAATATCCAAAAAGAAAAGGGAAGAAAACATAGTCAGCAGCCCGTGTGATCATGAAAGCAAAGTCCAGGTGACTGCTTTCAAAAGTATTCCTATAATTAAAGGATCCAATCACAAAGTCGCCAAAATTAATGAGTCTACACAATTACTAAAAAGTAGACAATTACTAAAACGTAGTGGCATACACCCTCAATCTCAGCACTTGGGAGACAGGCAAGTGGATCTCTGAGTTTGAGGAAAGCCAAGGATACACAGAGAAACTGCTGCAAAACGAAATAAAAAACAACAAAAGGCAGGCAAGAGAAGGGTAAAGAAAAAGGATGGAGTTTAAAACTAGTGAACTAATTGAATTTTAAAAGTAATTATTGATTACTTCTAAATTTTAAGGCATTGATAAAGTTACTGTCAGTAATTCAAAAGTGATGTGTTTGGTCTGTAGTAGCAAGATGACTTGTTTCCTTGGCCTTGTTTTATAGTCCAGTCTCCTGAGACAAGATCTAGGACTTGGGAGCCCAGCACAGCTGTCTTCTTCAGGAAAACCTGCAACACCATACTACTCATTCTCTGCCACAAGTTCTAGGAGAAGACCTCTCCATGACTCTGTAGCTCTAGGTGAGTGTTTGACTTGTCTGCTCACATGTCCCACTTCCTTAGTCTGTACTTGTGACTGTGCTTTTAATGAGAAGAAATATACTTTCTTGGCCATCATTTGTATATCAAGGTATATGTACATATAAATAATATACAGACTGAGTATTCCTAATCTAAAATCCAAAGTGCTCTAAAATGTGAAACCTATTGAATATTGACATTAGAAATGTCAGAATACTGACCATAGAAAATTTTTTAAAATATTTATTTATTTATTATGTATATAATATTCTGTCTGTGTGCATGTCTGCAGCCAGAAGAGGGCACCAGACCTCTTTACAGATGGTTGTGAGCCACCATGTGGTTGCCGGGAATTGAACTCAGGACCTTTGGAAGAGCAGGCAA